ATTACAGAAACTGAAAAATAACTGAAACTTGTAATTCAGTTTGAGTTGGAGGAGCGTTAGACGTCTTAGTGATAGAAATGAATATCAAACAAACACAGTACACAAACAACGAGGTACACACAGGTATACACTCTAAAACGTCCTTCTCAGTGGAGAAGGGTTTTTCTTTAAGTTCTATAAATACAGAGGTGTTCTGCCACCAACAGGCATAAATGTGTATGTGCATGTTAAAAAAAAACTCCACAAAATCCTGTGCACATTTGTTCTTGTTTTTTTCTGTGGTTTGTTTGATTTTTGAAACAGAAGCAAAAAGAAATTCTCCGCTAACACTGCTGAGAAAACAATAATAACACTGTATCCAGGAATATTTCTGTCCTCAGAGGACGCTATCAGACACAGGGTTAGCTCTCAATCATGTTTTGGACACACACACACACACACACCTACCAGAGCTGTTTGAATGTGTGTGTGAGTGAGGATTTTCCATCCGACCGTTTCATTTTTCTCCATTCATCTGAGCAATGGCAGAGATGTTTTGGACACACACACACACACACACACACACAGAGAGAGAGACATGATTGCATTTTTTATCACCTCGTCCTCAGAGACAAAGACAATAACACAGCCATATGTCTCAGCGTGGTCTTTTCCAGCCACAGGCCACAGCGGTGGCTGATGTATGCTGGATTATCACGCCCACACAGAGCTGCTGACGGACGGGGACAGGGACGGGGACGGGGACGGGAGCCCTCGTTGAGCCACGCTCTGGGCTCCTGTCCGGGGGCTACTCGACCTTGTAGGACACACATGAACATGTGCACATGAGTATCTGCATATTCACATGTATCAACACAAACAAGCGCTCACACCATCAAAGATCTCCAGGGCCTGGAAATGTGGCGTAATGAGGAGCTGCGCTCCAAATGCTTTTGGATGAGCCGCTGAGGGGCTTGTTTGGGGGTTGACGACGCCAGTGTGTGCTTTCAAAATGCTCCTTTAATTTTCACGCTCGTACACATTTACTCACATCTGCTGATGTGAAAAAGGTGTTGGTATTTTGTAGGAAGTCTCTTCTGAGTCACCAGTTTTTACCTGCACTGTAAAAAAAACATCACGTGGCATTATCATACATCAATAATTCAAGAGCTGGTAAAAAAACAGTTTTTTTTCTGTCTTCTGTCCTAGTTTTTTTACACTCTTTTCACACTTTTCGCTCCATTTTTTCCCCTTTTGTTCACTAAAGTCTGCAGTTGTCTCAGCAGGAGGCGTTGCAGCTGTTGTAAACAGGAAGTCGTCGTGTGTATCTTTGGTTTCTCAGGCCACGTCTGAACGATGTAGGAACGTGTTTGAAAAAAACAAATCTTAAAATGAATCAATGGAATTGATTCTTGGAAAAGTCACCAGTAAATTCTTTTTAGAAAGGTTTCATTTTCACCCGTCATCACGTCAGTCAAAGACGGTGAATCCTGTAGAAACTGAGATCCTGGAGCTGCTGTTACTGCGGAACCGTCTCCTCAGTCCGTCACGTCCCGTCACGTGTTCTATAAAGTTAAATCATTATTTGTCACGTTACCGTTCACGCAGCGGCACTGCAGCCACGACGTCAGCGAGGTCGCTCTCCTCGCTTGTTAAGAGCTTGTTCACATTTTAAATGAGAGAGGGCTCTCTCTGTGTTCTCTCCAGGCTCTGCAGGTAGCTGTCTGATGTCTCTCACTCAGTGGGGGTCCTGGGGAGACCAGATGACACGGGGGCTTCTTTGGACTTACTTATTAAAGGCTGCAGCTGCAGGAGACTCTCACTTTTAGATCATATTCAGGTTTTTTTTTTCTCACTCTGTACCACGCTTGCATTGTATTAGTAACACTCTGTACCACGCTTGCATTGTATTAGCATTGTATTATAACGTTTTACAGCATAGTAATGACATGGATGGCAATATTAATTTTCATATTTCAACACAACTAAAGATGAAGTAAAAGGAAACAAACAAATACATTTAAAAAATCCAAAACAATACGATTTGTTAAATTGAACTTTCTGTGCAGTTGCTGAACAGAAAGTGAGCAGAGCTTCTAACCCAGCAGTGCATTTCAATTGAAAACACAGTCTGTCCAGTGAATGAAGTGTCACTTTAACTGAGTCTGAAGTTTGAATTCACAAACAAACATAGAATGGTGTCAAAGAACTCAACAAAAACACCTCGTGTATTTACTCATTTACTTAAATGTATGAATTCATCTTGTGTCAAGTGTTGATGAACAGACTGAACAATTGGAGCGTGTCTGAAACTCCCTGCCGACATTAAAGCACGAGTCGTGCAGTCGTTACAAATGTAAACTGACCTGGAATTCCAAAAACAGCGTAATTTCCCTTTTTTTTAAATCATTTTTTTCAAACCTGCGTGCAGAGAATATGGCAGTTATCGAGCCCTAAAAAGGACATAATGTTGTGTTTTAATTTGCAGAGTAATGATGTTCAGAGTCAGAGTTTGTCCTGGGGTGATGCTGCAGCAGCAGTGCACTCACACCATATGTGGGCTTACACTGTATTATCATAATTTACCATATAAATCAGCCGTATATGTTGCCATCTTCTCCGCCCCTCAACCTGTTACTACGTCTGTCTAGGAAAGTACACAACTATACTTCGTTAGGGAACTTTATATTTCAAATTTTACTATTTCATCTTTCTTCAGTATTTTTTTATTTTTTCAGGGTAAAACATTTCATCTCCAAATGGTTTTAATGCCTGTTCATAGTTGGGTGACATGTGGGTGGTTCTCAAACTATGGTCTGCCTACCACTGGAAATACATATGTATGTATATTTATTTATATATGTGTGTCTATAAATCACTGTCTTCTCATAGATGCTTGAACAGCAACAGTAATGTGGGGTATATTCAAAGAATATAACTTTACAGCTAGGTGGCGCTAAGTCTCACAGACTGTGCCTTCAGTGGATTTACTTTACAGTAGAAGTTTACCTTTGTTTGTGATGTAGTTTTAGTGGTTCGATACACAGACATAAACATCCATCTGCAGTGCAGCAGTGGAGCAACTGTGACCATGAAGGGATTAAAAGAGAATCACATCAGACGGCTGTGAAATAAAATGAGACGTTCTGGGTAAAAAAAAAAAATTGGGAGCAAATGTGTCCAAGCCATTGATGATTCACTGTCTCTGTCACTAAAAAAAATCATCATCGTCTTGTCAGAGACGGTGATTAGCTGAGGAACAGTGGGTGAGAAGGACGCACGGATGTCTGCGTGTGGCTGCAGTGAAGCTGTGGTAGGTTCTAGGTTAGTGCTTCCTGTCAGGAACAGAGTCAGACTTGTGTCATGTGTTCAGATCAAACTGCACGTAAAAGCCACATCAATATCCCAGGCTGCGCCGCCGCAGACTCGAACGCCCGCCACTGCTGTAAATTCACAGCAGGCACCGGGGCTTTGTAAAAGCACAGGTTAAAGCGCGGCTGAATGAGTGGTATTGTTGTGCGACTCCACATGTGGCTCAGAGGTGAGACGGAGAGATTGATCTGAAAGTGACAGACGGCGTGAATGGAAGTGGATAAACAGGAAAAAAAAAACCACTCCTTTCTCTGTCTCCCTTTCACCCAGTCTCGGTCTCGGGGGTGAGATTACTGTTCCCATGGCAACACAGCTGATTGCCTGAAAATTGCTGTGGTTGTGGGCGCCATGGCAACACATTACATTATATTATTCTGGTGTTAAGAGACACCCCGCGTCCCTGTGTTCCACGTACGGGTTCACGGTGACGTTGTTCTCACTCTGTCACCGTGACGGTCACTGACTGTCGACGGACGACACGTGTTCATGTGACTTCACGGCTTCAACAGGTTTAGACCTCGCCTCACCCTCCACACACACACACACACACACGCACACACTCCAGCTTCACATCCTCCAGTTCCTCACTGTCACTGAGATTATGCTCAGCAGTAGAAGAGACGGGCAGTATTGATCAGTATTGATCAGTATTGATCAGTATTGATCAATATTGATCATATTGGTTTGTCATATGTGTGTGTGTGTGTGTGTGTGGATCTGGACTGATTCGTCCTGATGCCTGGACAAATGTGGATTTACACTGAGTTAAAAAACAAAGATTATGAACTAGGACACCATTAGAAAGAAGGCCTTTGTATGAGTTTAATGTGAAAATCTGAAAATGAATCAAAAGGTAAATGACCCGAGTTATAATCAAACAGTTTTAACCTTTTAACCTTCACCTCCGATAAATAAGAAATTAAGTTTGAAAAAAAAAATGAAACAAAAATATAACGTAAATCCTATAAAACTAAAAATGACTCCATTGGTATAACGTTGAGGTGTCATCAAACAGGCTGTCATTAAAAAAAGTTGAGGAACTAAAGCTGAATAAATAAATGCCAAACAGATCCATATATGATCAATGTTGTCTTTAATTGTTTTCCTTGAGAAACAGAAAAACAACGTTTCATTCTAACACATTATCTGAGGAATCCATCATTTCGGCTCATTAAATCTCTGAGACTTTCTCTAAGATGCTGTAAATCAGGGGGTTTTAAAGTCTAACGTTGTGGCTCTGTCTCTGGGATGGCAAAAAAAAAAAAAAAATTCTGCATTTTGCTGCACAAAACAACTTTAGCTTTTAAAGGGAAGGTTTCCAGCCTAAAAGGTGTCATATATGACACGGTGTGTTTTGTTAAGTTTAAAATATTAATTTATGAGCATAACAGTTGTACATGTGCTTATATATGTGTATATATATTGACGTCCTTCCTCACATGCTTGTGTTTCTGTAAGGTGGAATGTCAATATATTTCTTTATAAATGGACACTTTCTTCTGTCTTCTGCTTCACAGACGCCGCTCGTCTGTTGTCTGGGTTGGTTTTTTTCACATGTGAAAAGATTTATTGTCTTATTTTCACACTGTGACTTGGTCAGAGATGACAGCGGCTAAAACGTTCCCACTGTCTCTTCTTAAAACGCTTGTACACGCACACACACACACACACACACACATGCTGGCACACACACAGCTTTCCTCTCCTCACGTACAGACTAGAAATGTATTTCTCTGGTGAACTGTTTCAGAGGCTGAGCATCTCCATGGTGACGGCAGCCCACAGTTTAAGACGAGGAAGATCAGGGGGGAGAGAGAGAGAGAGAGAGAGAGAGAGAGAGAGGGAGAGAATGAGATGATTCCAGCTTATCCACAGTGCTGTGCACTTGTTGACACACACACACACACACACACACACACAGATAAATATATATTCCCACTGACTAAATGTCCACTCCTTCCTGGTTCTTCAGTCTTCCTGAGCTCACGCCCTTCTTTCAGTTTAGACTCAGTGAACTGTATGTACTGTGTTAATCTCAACCATGTTAAATATGACAGGATTATTATTAAGTATTAAGTATTAAGTACTAAGTACTAGTATTGCAGTACCGTACGCTCTCCTGACTTTACACCTTCAGACGTTCCTTCCTGCAACAATGTTTTTTAGACTTTGTACCAAAATTTTCTGCCAAAGCTGTAGAATAGAATAATATAATATACAAAACCACTTTTCATGTTGATACACATGTATTTTATTTTGATATATTTGCTTTATATTGTGATTTTGATTTCTGGGTAAAATCATTTATACATACATTTTATTGATATGTTTTTATATATATATAATACATGATGGTGCATTCTATGAATATAAATCACTACTGTAGTACATGTAAGTAAACAGTAAAACAATCAATAATCACCGTGACTGTAATAATTAAAATAGGTAAAAAAAAAATTAAACAATGTTTAATGTCTTACATTTCTTATATTGATGTAACAACAACAGTATTTACACATAGGACGCCATGTGGGATATTCTGCCAAAAAAGAGAAAAAAATAAAAATAAAAATATATATATATCTGTAAAAAAGTCCATATACAGTTGTACAAAAAGAGTGTCCAGGTGGTGAGGTCGTCTTTTTGATGTGTGTGGTGGGAGTGGGGAGCAGGTGGAAGAGAACCAGGAGGCTGAGGTCAGCACCAGAATAAAGGTCAGCAGAAGCAAGACAAATAGCTGTGTGAATGAGTGAGACACAGATGGAAAGGTTAAACTACAAGGAGTAGAGGAAGTGCAGGGTGAAGAGGTCAAGTGTCTGGAATCAACCGTGACAGACGTTGGACAAGAAGAGAGTGTGGGCCGGGTGAGTCGGATGGAGACGAGTGTGTGGGGGGCAGAGGGGGGGGGTGAAGTTTGACAGACGGGCAAGAAGTGGTCGTTAAAACCTCCGTGCCGTGTAAAACACAGCTTTGTGCTCCGTGGCACTTTAAATGAATGGTTGGCGGACAGCTCCTGGTGCTGAAGTACACTGGCAGTGTGAGTGCTGCTGTCGGCGTAATAACAGTTCCATACTTTAGGTATGAAAATTCAAATATTCATTAATGAAATAATATATAGTTAGACTTAAGTACTCCACTGTAGTACTGTAGTACTGAAAAGTATCATCTTCCAGCTGTCACTATTTGTTAGATTCCTCGAAATGTGACGTCCCATTTTTCCCACAGGCAGGTCTGAAGGGTTTTTTGTGTCAGTTCATTTCCTTCATGTGTTTTTTTATGCATAAATTGACAAGAAGTTCAGCTCTGTCTCTCATGTACGCACATATACTGTACACATTCATTAGAGTAAATTAAACTCCATCACATGTTCATGACCATGTTATGTCTTCACTCATTTATTAAAGCAAACATCCAGTGAAGGCGGTTTATTTTGGTCAGTGACTCTGCATCTTCAACACATCAGATGCTTCAGCCTGACGTGTTCCAGCGTTGACATTTAATTCACTCTCTTAAACTAACCCTTGGTTTTTGCTCTGACCCACTCAGCTACAGCTGGGAAGACATTTGGTCAGTGGTCTGATTTGGTTTACGATGTATTTTGGAGGTGGAGCTGTAGGTGGCAGTGTTCAGGGTGATGACATTTTCATCGGTGGTGACCAGGATGATGTTGGACAGAGACAGAGGAAGTTTAATGGACGAGGTGATGTGAAATATCAGGAAAGGAACAACTTAAGCGAGATGAAAGTTAAAGTCCGAAACAGAAGAATATGAAGAAAAACAGAGGGAAAACTGACACTGAATAAAAATGACATGTTTCACTGAAGATTTATATGTTTGTGTTTGTGTTGATACAGTCAGTGTTTTAGACCTGTGAACTCTGTCAGTGTTAGTACCAATAACTGTAGTACTGAACAGCCAAAGGAGCAGAGTTTTTGCAGAACCTACAGTGGTCTCTCCACTCTACTGTGTCTCCGTGTCTTCTTGCCTTGACATCTGGAGTTTGTATCTAAACCAATGATGCAGCTACAGTATAATAATAATGTAACTCAACTCTGCATTTCAACCATTGATATTCATGATATAATTCTACATTCTGACTCTCAGGTACCTCATGAATGTTACATTTGAAGGCCGGAATCTGTCGTTCAGTGAAGAAGGTCATCAGATGTTCCCCAAGCTGGTCATCATTCTTCTGGACAAGGACAGACAGTGGGACAGGGTACGGTATTTGTCTCCTCCCCTCTCCTCTAATCTTTAATCAAGGTTAGATTTTCTTCACCTGCTGTGATGTATCTGTTACTTTTTTCTCTTTGTTTTTTTTCTTTGGACCGTCTCCCTCTCTTGAAGTACCTGCTAACGTTGCCTGTGTATCACTTCTCTCTCCTCCCACTCCCTCCTGCAGGTTGGCAAATGGGAACGCGGCTCTTTGACGATGAGGTACCACGTGTGGCCTCGGTTTGAGTTGTACTCCGCAGCGGAGGAGAGAAAAGACCACCTGTCTATCGTGACTCTAGAAGAAGCTCCATTTGTCATTGTGGAGGACGTTGACCCGCTGAGTGGGACCTGCATGAGAAACACTGTGCCGTGTCGGAAACAGCTTAAACTCAGGTGAGAAAAACATTCATGTTCTTCACCAAATAAACCAGGAAACACGGGGAAAAAAAAAGAATTTTAGGTCTCACTGTTTTCAAATGACAAAATCATGACTATGGATATATAGTGTTGTGTCCAACTGGCAGACAGACAACTAAAAAAATAAAAATAAAAGAGATTTGTATACAAAATTTGACCCAGTAGTGGAAAACTTTCCCTGACCTTTTATAGACACAATTTTCCTTAAAATCTGTTTTTTCTGCCAGGGGACCTGTTGACGTAAAAAGTGTTTTTAATTCTACTGTATACAGTACCTTACTGTATACAAACTCAGACTTAGTGCATATTTAGTCTGAGTAATACCCAACCTGCCTGCATATCTAACAGGTTAAAGAGGAAATGTTTTTGTTGGTCTGTAACCAACGGTCTTGGAGCCCACATGTGACTTTGACAAACAGGCCACTTAACTAGTAAAGAGTTGACATTTAAAACCATATCTACTGGTTAATTGTCTGTTAACGCCTTATTGGCGTGGCCTCTGTTTTATACTGAAAACAAAAGTAATGGAGTGAATAATAATAACAGTTTACTAAAGAGTTTAGATGCTAATGCTCTGCTCTGCTCTGAGCAGTTGTCTTTCACCTACATATATTATAATATATATATATATAATATATATATATATTATAATAATGACATCAGTGACTTCAGGTCTTCATCACTGTGTCCAATCCTCTCGGTCTTTAAACTAATCTGATTTCTCCTTTACCGACTGCTTCACCTTGATCCTCCTGCTCTCCTCTCCTCCTGGGAGTGAGATAATGAATTTTCCTCCGGCCTTTCCTGCCACAGGTGGTGCACCTAAAAATCCCTTAAAGGTTTCCTACAACTGGCTTAATGTTCTTCTTTTTTTTCCTTTTTTTTTATCGACTAATGTTTATCTGGATCTTTCCGTCCCTTCGTTTCCTCCTCTTGCGTCACTGTCTCCGTCTTTTCCTCAAAGATGTCCTAATGCACAGCATTATATTCAAACAGAGTGCTCTACATGAAAAGGTACAAGATCAGGTGTGCAGTGAAGAGAACAACATGAGTCAGTGTTCACAGAGTGATATATGAACGGCTCAGAGACAGAAACTCATGGTTCTGTGTTTTTCAAAGCCTTTTATCTCAGCTATCGTGGCCTCTTCACTTACTGAATGCAGAACAGCCCCATCGTCTGGTTTTGTTTTTTAAGGTTGAAACATCCTTTTGTGATTTAAAAAAAACAACAAAAAAACTACTAAGACAGAACCATTGTCCTTGGTCGAGCTCTGGCAACATCCTGCTCCCACATTGCCAGAGCCTCAGTTGCGTTGCTGCCAGCGGCTGTTGTTCACCTGTACCTGCTGTGATCCAAGACACAGTTTGGTCACGTTTGTCCCTTTAAGTCTATTATTCATAGAGCGCTCATCAATGTGTAATGGAGGTCAGTGTGTTGCCTGTGCTTGAACAGAATAGAAATGGGAGCTGATACATTCACATCAAGGTCAACACTGTGCTGTACATCAACATCTCTGAAGTTGCTTTACATGTTATCAAATGACATGTAATGTTATTAATGTTATGATGATACATTCTCACCTCAGGAAAAAACAAAACTTTGATTTTTCGAGTCATAACATTTTTGAGTTGTGACCTTTCACCAACCCAGGCCTTGATCTGAACACCAACTGTGATGCTGTTAAATATAAAGCAATGAGAACATTTTTAAAAAAAGTTTATACTTAAATATGTGAGATTTTACCACATGCAAAAAATATTTGTAGTTCAACTACACGACTACATTTTAATTAACCAGAACTAAAGAAAACCTCCTTTATTCTGGTGAATATCTGTATTACTTTTTTTTTCTGCCAGTTTTTCTCCCTCCAGATTTGGTATCTGTATGAACAGGATGTAAAAACACATGAATGTTGTTTTTTCAAATTCTCCAACTTCATCACCCCCTCCTCCCCCCTCTCCTCCCCCTCTGTGTCCACTCACAGTAACCACACAGGAGATTCAGGGATTTACATCAAACGCTGCTGCAAAGGTTTCTGTATCGACATCCTGAAGAAAATCGCCAAGATGGTGAAGTTCACCTACGACCTCTACCTGGTCACCAACGGCAAACACGGCAAGAAGGTCAACGGCACCTGGAACGGCATGGTGGGAGAGGTGAACCATTTCTGTCTTTTCTAATTGGAACCGCACAAAAATATTTACAGTGTCGTACTGATTGAACACGGAGGGTTGGACGTGGTTTTTTTAATAGGTGATTCAGGTTTCATCATCCTGTTTCATCAGTTTGAGAAGCTCTTAGGGACTAAAGTGGATCATGTCACGACGGCCGGTTTCAGGCAACACTGGGGCAACACCAACAATAGAGTCGTAACATTAAAAGAATAAATCTGTGTAATATAAGTCAAATATGACGTGTATTTGGTTCAAACTCCCAGCTCTGAGTCGAGGAATTTCTTGTTACGTTGGTGATGAATTACGTTCATATCCTTTTATTTGGATTCATTATATGAGACTATATTAAACTGTGTGTCTGGGTTTTATTAGACAAGAGCTTCATAAATACACTGCCTTTGAATATGTTCACCAATATATTTACACTACATTTCACCCTAATTGGATTTACTACATGGACACAATGCAAACCGTTGCCTTGAATCATTAACGACAAAAAGCCAGAATACACAACATAATGGAATCACACGGCGGCTCGGAATGTGGAGAACTGTTTGCCGTCTGTGGGAATTTATTTTCATTATAGAGCCTGGATGTCTCTTTCTGTTAGTTTCTCACTGTCTCTGTCACCCCATCCCTACAACCTGGCCCCAGGGGGAGCTGTGATCAGCACAGCAAAAACCTGAGGAGGAGGATGATGAGGCTCCCAATCAGAGAAAAAGACACAGCGACGAAGAGAGAGTGCAATCGCTGCAGAGAAGTAGAGTAGAGGGAGAGCAGCCTCAGGGAGAGACCCACTTCACTCCTGTACAACATGACACATTAAAGAACCAGCACAGGGCGGCCTTCACACATCAACGTGATGTCCGGCTGAATTGATTAAAGCACAAAGGATCAACTCTGTTATCGTCCGAGCAGCGTAATGAGGTGTAGATGTGCGGGGCAGAGTAGACGGAGGCAGGAACAACTCCATCATCAGCGGAGCTCCAGTCGGTTTGTCTACTCTGCCCTGAAGCAACACGAGGTCGACGACAAAGCCATGCAAATATAAGTACAGTACGTGAGCAGCTGATGATCTCATCTGAACGAAGGAATGTTGAGCAGAAAAAGAAAAGGAAGTGACAAATGGCAGCAGTGAGTGGAATTCCATCTTTGAGCAGCATAAATTTCCCTTCATCAACACTATTTCTGGGTCTGATTTTTATTCATGCCTGAGGCCTCCTGAACCAGAGGGCAAAAAGTACATGAGCATCCTGTAGATGGCAGCACGGGGTGGAAGCAAGTCAGATACTTAACAGACACTAGAAACAATTTACCTTTCACCTAAATGTCCAATTAGCACGAGCCTAATATGCAGGAGGAGCTGACTGTGAAGATGGCACTGCAGTGTCAGGATGAACTCGAGGTTTTTATTTGAAAATAATCGTTCAGTTTACAATTTGTACCAGGGTTAAGTATCACCTGAGTAATGAGATATGGGAGTGGTCCTAATTTGAGACATAATTTTTTTTCATGTCCATCGCTGCACGTGATTGGTCAGCTGATGATGACATGCATGCGTCTGTTTTAAAAACAGCTGTAAAAACTGTTTACATACGTGGTAAATAATCCACGGTCCTCAAAGCTAACCGTTAGCCACGCCGTGCTAATAGAGGCGTTGAGCGACACGGCACCGAGTTGTTACTGCAGTCCATAAACCCACTGACCCGCTGTGTTTGTCTTCTGTCTGTGGTCTGTGATCCTCAGGTGGTGTTGAAGAATGCTCACATGGCCGTGGGTTCACTCACCATCAACGAAGAGAGGTCAGAGGTCATTGACTTCTCTGTGCCCTTCATTGAGACAGGAATCAGCGTCATGGTCTCTCGTAGCAACGGCACCGTCTCCCCGTCAGCCTTCCTCGGTGAGAGTTTGATTTATTATTATTATTATATTTAATAATTATTATTATTAGATGTAAACTAATGTTACAGAGAGTAAATAATTCAATTAAACATTCATTTTTGCTGCTTTAACGACCAGAATCCCCCATCTATCTTCTTCTCTCCCCCTCTATCTCCCTTCCTTCCCAATATTTCCTCCTCTCCCGCTTCATCTCACTCTTATGGGGTTACGTGTCCCTCTCTAACTTTTTGTGTCCCCTCTTTTTCCTTCTGTGACCTTTGCCCCCTCTCACCCTCTCTGTGTTCCATCTGTGTCTCCCCCCTCATCTATCTCTTTTCTTCCCCTTTTGTCTCCCTCGTAACACCTCTAAAATATCTCTTTCTTCCTGTCCTTCATGTCTCTCTCTCCCTCACCCTCCCTCACCCTCTCTCACCCTCTCTCTCTCACAGAGCCTTTTAGCGCTGATGTCTGGGTGATGATGTTTGTGATGTTGCTGATTGTGTCAGCTGTGGCCGTGTTCGTGTTTGAGTACTTCAGCCCGGTGGGTTACAATCGCTGTCTGGCAGACGGTCGAGGTGAGAGAACACACACACACACACACACACACACACACACACACTAGCCCAGTCAACTCATGCTGCAAATATGTGACAGTGAGCTCCATCTCCAGCCAGTCTCGTGTGCCAAACTGCAGACAGATCTATGAAGGCACCATTCAGCCGGAGTCCTTGTGTGATAATTTACTCTGACAATCCTTTCTGAGTGAGTGAGCGACTGCAGTGCTGTCCTTACGTCTTGGACTGGTCCTAATCGACATCTACATCACTTGAAGTCGAGCGCTGATGAAAAGGATCGTTGATAAGTGCCAGAAAGTTGATCCTAATGATTCCCTTCATCGTAGCGTGAATAAAAACTCCTTCGTCTGGTCGTGCTGTTCTCGGCTGTTACAACAGCGTCACACCACTGTGTCTCTGTTATGATATTGAGGAATGAGCTTTCGTAGATATATTATCTTTAAAAATATATAAGAAAATATATTATCTTCTAAAAACCATCAGGGTTAACAGTGGCTGAGAGCAGGAAGCTGAATGTTGTGCACATGTTCCAGCCGGACGTTCAAATCAATTTTTCCATGAAAACAACGGTTCAGATTTAATCTTTTTTTGGAGTTTATTTTTATATATATATAAACCCGATTGTTGCACTTTCTTAGCTTCAACAGCGGCAACTCAAGATAGAATCAGAGAAGTGTTAAAGCGCTGCAGGCAACATTTTAACCATCCACCAGAGAAGATGAGAGAATGGCTGTCTGATACAAGTGTTTTCTAAAAAGCATCAGTACTGTAGCTCTGGGTGTGAAGATGTGAAGCTGTTTCATTCCTGTGATGCAGCTGTAGCTGTAGTGTAACTGTGGCCCATTGTCATATTGTCCTCATTTACCCCCGCCGTCATCTTTCTTCCGCCCTCATGGCCGATGCCACACAGCCACAGCAGACTGTCACACTGCTGTAGTAGTAGGTGGTTGTTATGTCGGTGGCTGGGAGTACAGATGTGGTCTGAGACGCAAACTGTGTCATCACTGACAAACTGAAGAATGAGAACAAACCCCTTCATTGTCATCGCCATCCATCAACTTCCTCCCACGGCAGCGAGCACAAGTAAACGCACGTTAAATCTTATCCTAGGTTTGATCAGCTGACTTGATATTCTTGTCCATCCGTCCTTGTCCTCCTCTCCCTCCTTCGTGTCTCCTAGAGCCTGGAGGTCCCTCCTTTACCATTGGTAAGGCGGTCTGGCTGCTCTGGGGTCTGGTCTTCAACAACTCTGTGCCTGTGCAGAATCCAAAAGGCACCACCAGTAAGATCATGGTGTCCGTGTGGGCCTTCTTCGCTGTCATCTTCCTGGCCTCCTACACTGCCAACCTAGCTGCCTTCATGATCCAGGAGGAGTACGTCGACCAGGTGTCGGGCCTGTCCGACAAAAAGGTCGGTGATGGATGTCAAGTGTTGTTAGGAAGCCTGTGGATTAGTGGTTAAAGGATCAGGCAGGTAATTGTTACGCTGGTTCAAATCCCAGGCCCTAACGGAACCAAAAACTCCCTCGCTCACCGGCTCTCCCAGATTTACAGCCAAAAAACAAACGATAACAAAAAAAACTCAAGGATATGTCATCATCACAGTACATTTGCTTCAGTAACAAAGTTTTAAAGAGTAATTTATTTTTATTTAGGGAGGTTTGGAATTTTTACCTCTGTTGTAATAATAATAAATCACATTAATAACATACACTATTTCAAACTATTATTGAAGAGTAGATATAAGGTTTTAAATTCAGATTTTTACGCTGAAGCTTGGACTTTCTCTCAGTTGATTTATAACCAGTAAATAGTTTCTCTGTTATCACTAAACCATTTTAAAGTAACTTCAACACAATGTCAACTGAACCGTTAATCATTTTCTTTGATTTATTTTGAACTAAAACTACCAAACAGCAGGAAATATCCTACCAAAAAGAGTCCCATCAGCCTCAAGACTTTTTGTCCGTAGTGAGCAGCAGTGATGCTGACTAATTGAACGTCCGTCCGTTCCTTTGATGGAATAATCAGCCGACCTTAATTGATTGATCAGTGTTATCAGTTAAAACTCTCAAATTGCAGCGTTTCTGTGTTCCAAATTTTTGTTCGTGTGGCTGTTTCCCTGTGATCGTGTGTGATGTGATTTTGTTGAGCTGTGAAACTCGTGTCTGTTGAATACAGCGAGCTGTTGTGCTGTTCAACAGTGCGTTGAAGTTTATTTGTCGCAGCTCAGTGCTTTTCTCATGCTAACATGCAGTCTCCCCTCATCTCTCTCTCTTTTTTCTCCCTTTTTCGGACCCCCCCCTCCCACCACCACCACCACCTCAGTTCCAGAAGCCAAATGAATTTTCTCCGCCCTTCCGGTTTGGAACGGTGCCCAATGGGAGCACGGAGCGCAACATCCGCAACAACTACAGGGACATGCATTCCTACATGACCAGTTTTCACCAGAAGAATGTTGACGAAGCGCTGTACAGTCTGAAAACTGGGTGAGGACGATTGGAGAGGACTGGGTGGGAGGATTTGGGGGGGCCGAGGGGAGTTGTGAGGGAAAAAATGGCGGCGCTGTCTTCTGATGCAACAAACACTTGAGATGATGAAGGCGTGAGGAGACGGAGTCAGAGTGAGCTTTTTTGGTCAGTGTGGGTGAGCTGGCAGTGGAGCTGCTTACGTGCTGCTGCCGCTGCCGCTGCTCAGAATAGCACCGGAGCCTGGAGTTGATGTGAAAGCTAACAAAGAGTCGTGGCTCAGAACGCTAACTAACCTTTTCTTCTCATCCCCCAATGTTTCCATCAACCTCTACGGGGGGAGTGACAGTGGACAGCAGCAGAGTTCCTCTGATGATAGTTGAAGTCTTGAGCTGAATGACCACAGAGCTCTGAAACGCCCCGAGGCCTCATTTGATGGTGATTTGTCGCCAAGCTGGTGGCTGTCAATTTAATTCAGCTTCAAAGTCATTCAGGACCGATGAGCAGAGAGAGGAGAGAGAATTTTCTGAGGATTGTTTTCACTCAGGGGAGAAGATTAACACGTTTTATTACATAATCATTGTTAACTAGCTGCTGCTAAAAAGGTTAATGACGTATAAAGAATAATATTACATTAGCATTTAATTTATTATTAGAAAAGTCTCATTATGGATTCCATTCTGCTCAGTTTAATCACATATAGCTTGTTTTACTTATTTAATTTACTTTAAAGCTACTGAGCGCAAATGTGCATATACTGACGGCAGTACAGACACATACAACCTAACGAGATGTCAAGAGGGCCGGACCAGTACAATCATAACATAATTATACTTACTATAACTAACAATGAGTCCATGTTCTCCCTTTTGTTTTCATGCAAATAAGTACAAGTATATTATATATTTATTACTTTTTCATATTCAAATATTCATGAAATGTTAGTGTATTTTTTCTATTTCAGACTTCATCAAGCGGGCTAGATGGTTGGGTTTGGCCCGCGGGCCATATATTTGACACCCCTGCTTTAGATGGACACAAATGTGTTGGTTGACATTTGACACTGAGGGACACAGGCTTGACTTCCACCTGCTTTAAAAACTATGACTCTCCTGTTCTTAAGAGTCAGTCGTTCCAGACTTAACTCTTCTGGATCACTGACAAACAACTGACAAACCCACGGACCTCAGAGTAAAAATGAAAATACTACCGACAGTGTGATCTGAGTAAAAGTAGTGAGAAAGCACACTGTCACCTAAACAAGTACTTAGATACCCTTATTACCTCAGTAAATATTTTGACTGGTAGTTCTTAAATGTACTCAACTGTTTTCTAGACAAACAACACTGACATGTCAGCGTGGTAGTATAAAAACCACGTAACCTTCTCCGTCCTTCTGTGTCCTGCAGGAAACTCGACGCCTTTATCTACGACGCTGCTGTGCTCAACTACATGGCGGGCAGAGATGAGGGCTGTAAACTGGTCACCATTGGGAGTGGAAAGGTGTTCGCCTCCACTGGTTACGGCATCGCCATCCAGAAGGATTCGGGCTGGAAGCGAGCTGTGGATCTGGCCATACTCATGCTTTTTGGAGACGGTAACGTTTGTCCTGGTTTCACTGTGTGTCAATATCATGTAGGTTTGTCCTCCACAGTCAAGGACGATGGACAGGGTTTTATAGGTCAGAGGTGAATCATTTGGATTTAACATGAGCACACATGACACACGCATACACACAGCTGGACACAGAGCATTATGGGTGCAGCTACGTTTTATAAAACAGAAGTTGTCAGTTGTTATGGTTGACGTTTGTGCATCTATGAAGTGTCAGCGTTCTCTTTAGTTTGATGAGTGAGTGGGTGATTTGTCTACATGTTAAAATCTGAAACTTGTTGTTGTTCAAGATGGTTAAAAAATGTGGTGTGTAAAAAGAGCAGCTGCTCAATGATTTGTTGGTATCCTGTAGTAGATCTGTGACAGTGGAAATGTTCCCTTTTAATGAGTTACTCTCTTTAGTAGCTGAACTGAAATCCAGGTCAAACTAGTCTGTTATTACTCATCATTTAGATCTCAATCCTAAGAAATGGTTAGATTTATCAACAGCTCCAACTGGAGTGGCTTTAAAGTAGTTGTGACTCTGGAGGTGGTGTTTCATTTATAATACTGAAAAAAAATCGGAGAAATCTTACTATTAAAGCATTTCCCTGCTCTCTCTCTCTGTAATTCAAAAAAATCTTTAACAACATGACAGCATTTAAAAACTTTCTATTAACCTCTCAATTTAACAGTGTTTTTTCTCCTATTCAATGTAGAACACAGCTTAAATTAAAAATGACAGTTTCATGTTTTTATGGGGACAGTGTAGGCAGTGCAGACGTGGTAACAGTGTCTTGGCGTCTTTGTAAACCTTGCAGGTGTCTTCCCAGATTTCCTTGGTTTTAAAGGTAGACTCTGTGACACAGTGAAGGAGGAGAGGTTTGTTGGTCAGGTTTTACATTCAAGCTCAGCTGTTGCTGGATGATTTGAGTAGTTATTGAAAACAGGCAGAGGCTTCACAGTGAGAGGCTGACGAGTGCAGTGATCCATGAGGGCTTCGGCTCCAGGCTGGTGTGATGAGAGGATCCAGCCAGTTGATGTTTCTTTTTTTTTCTCAGAGGAGATTGTGCTGCGTTAAACTGAATGTTGCCTCTCTGTTTGGACGAAGGTCTGGGACAGAATCACTGGCACTCCCTGTGTCCCTGTGTCCCTGTGTCCCTGTGTTTGGAGATGATGCAGTGGAGGGACAGTTTCCCGCTGGCTGTTCTGGTGGAGGACATCTGTTATACACACAACTGGATGTGGACGTCCACTGTGACATTTGTCGGTGCACCATTAAAAATGGATGAAAAAATGATTAAAATACAAACCTTTATTTAAAACACAATATAGGTTTTACTTTTACATCATTTATTCAATGGTATGAACCAGAATCAGTGACAGTAACAGTACAACACACACACACATATATTTATACAGTACATCATTTTAATAAAAGATGATGTAATGTCTCACCTGTCTTTGGTTTTAGCAGCACTTGTATCGTGGGAAAAGCAACACGGAGCATTAATGTTGTCCCTGATGTGATTCCATCTGTGCAGAAAATACATCGAAATCCTACAACGTGTACAGTACGAGCTCCGTACTGTCTCGTATGTCAGATCGTATGTAGTAAAACACACACACACTGTCGGCGGCCGTCATCACTTCAGATCAGTGTGTGTGTGTGTGTGTGTGTGATGGGTGTAGACCACCTCCATCGTCTCCGACTGTTACAGCCGCTGTATTCACACTGACACTGTTGAAGTGTTTGATACGTGTCACTGTGCGGACGCCGGAGAGAAAACATCGTCCAGGATCAACTTTAAAATCTTTTTCCTTTGTACGTTTTTTTACGTTATGTAATGTTTACAACTTTATTGGGATCGACGTTGACATGGCAACCAGAAGATTTACAGCCAACACGTGTGTTTCCTGTCTCACGGTCTCAGAGTTAAAAAATAGTAAAAATAGTTCCATCCAGGCCAACTGGACAGAGTAGGTTTTTATTTAGTTTGGAGAGGTGGAAAAAAAACCTACTCTGTCCAGTTGCCCTCCATTTAACTATTTTTGGATAAGATGACCTGGATGACTGAGAACCTACACAGACATGAAATGGCATACGCCTTCAGTCAAATAGTGCCCCCTGTTGTTACATGTGTCCCAATTTTCTGTAAATGGAGACTTGGCGGGCGAACCTGTCTTCACACCAACAACAAATATGTAGGATTTCACCTTCACCTGTGTTTCTGTAGGTGAGATGGAGGAGCTGGAGGCCCTGTGGCTGACGGGCATCTGCCACAATGAGAAGAATGAGGTTATGAGCAGCCAGCTGGATGTGGACAACATGGCAGGAGTTTTCTACATGCTGGGAGCCGCCATGATTCTGTCGCTCATCACCTTCATCTGTGAACATTTGTTCTACTGGCAGCTGCGCTTCTGCTTCATGGGCGTGTGCTCGGGAACCCCTGGGTTCACCTTCTCCATCAGCAGAGTGAGTGTGTTTGTGTCTTAGCTCTAAACACACGAACACAAGAGTAGATTTCGAGTGTAAATGCTAATGACCTTCATGGAGTGCATTCATCGAAGGAAATGAGTGATGCAGCCCTGCTGCAAAACTGAAGGGTTGGATTATGTATGTGGTTATTATGTAGTGATTATAATCCATTATGAGTCAGGTCACCCACCGATCGTCTGACCCAGGATCCAGATGGTGGCCTTACCTTTTCACCAGGTACAGTTTATGATGGTGTCAAATCCAAACAAACTTCTTTACTAAACGACCAATCAGCTTCTACAGGTTAGAGACATGTGTTGTTGTTCTCATTACATTTTCCTGAATTATTTAAAGTCAATGTTGAACGGAACAGATTTATAGCTGGTAAGTAACAGTAGCAAAAATAAGTAATATTTATCTTATTTATTTTGTTTTTTTATATTTTTCAAAAATATACATAACATGGGAACCACTGCTGTAGAGAACACAGTGACAAGTGGTAGAAACACAGACACACTAACCAACAGGTAAGGAGAATGAGTGTCCTAATTGTTCAATTTTAGCACATTAGCTTCGACATGCTAAACTCTGTTGTACTCAGTTTTGCATCTTGAATCAAAACCTTCATTTCGAGTGAAACACATTTCAAGTGTGGTTCAATTACCTGGAGTGGCCCTAGAGGGAGCTGTCTTTCATGCATTTTTGTGCCTCATTTAACACTCGAGATAAAGCCTGAGAAAGACAAGGTAATAATATGCAAAATGTAGAGAGATGGAAATATGATCAAACTACAGGAGACAGAAAGGGGAGCTCAGCCACGGTGAAGAATTCCATCAGTAACCTGTTGTGCCAGTACCCTCTGTTCTGTTATATATCACAGTTACCAAACCACCTATAGATGTAGCCGTGTGTCAGACAATCCTGTTAGAGCAAGTGCTGCTCACCTGAGCCACCAGGAATAGAGAGAAAAACAGGCACAAAGAGGGAACAGAGCTATAAAAGGAGAGAGGGTTGACCGTTCAAATTCCTATTCAGGTCCCTGAACGCAGCACAGCACTGGGTAGGGTGATGTGAAGACAGACAAAAACTGCTTCTGACAATGTGACACCTTTAGGGTGATGTGAAGACAGACAAAAACTGTTTCTGACAATGTGACACCTTAAAAAAAAAAAAAAAAAAGTTTGCTCTCTTGCCAGCTGGTGGGTCACTTCCTTTAGGATATGACTGTTGCAGCCCACCCCAGTTTCCCTGCATCACTACGGAAACAGACACAGAGGTAACACCTCGTCTCAAGTCTCATTGTCTCCACCCAAACAAAAGAAAAATGCACAAAATGTAGTGTTGAGGTATGGGAGTTTTTGGTGATTTCTAACTGTGTTCACACTTGTTTTGATTCACATGCAGTGATTTATTCTGGTGTGAAGTCCTAGTATGAGCAGCCATCACTCTTTCTGCACAAAATGCTAGTTAATTAGATGATTATACAGTCTTAATAGTTGATGTGTCTGGGACTGTGCAAAATTCCAAAACAACACTGGCTACTTGGTATTTTGTCCATTTTGTCTTTTTTTTTGTCAAACTCAACAGCTGTATTTCTTAAGGTGGTAGTTCAAACTCTTGTGCCTCAGCCTATCATAACAAAAGAAATAACTACGCCCCCCAGAGTCCATTATTTCAGAACTGCTTCCAGCTGTGCTCTTTCTATATCAAGTTTTAAAAGTAAATTATCTGATGAAAATTATTCAGATTATTATTATTCACCAACAGGAAAATGGGTCATTCTTTAAATTTTATGTGTCTTAAATCTGAGCAAAGCAGAATTATATCTGTAAAAGAAAACATTTTTGTCTAACTGATGTTTACCTTCGATTGAACAACACTAAAGTGAATGTAGAAGTTGAGTCTCTGACTCACTGCACACTGAGAGGTTAAGTTGTTGAGGTGAGGATCGTATCAGTCACACATGTCCAAGTGTGTGTCCTCACTCACAGCGAAGTCACACCGGTGCTTTCTTTTGCACCAAACATGACGAGTGTGAACACATTCGCGTCGGTCCTCTGAGAGGAGACACTCAGAGCATGAACTCAGCTCCATTACTGTTTAATGCACAGACAACACTGGTCAGAGAGAACAGTGCAATGCATTAACCTTTCACGGCCTCAGCCCTCGTGTTCTGTCCCCTTCTCTTTCTCTCTCTTTGTCTCTCTCACCCTCTTGTTTACATGGCTGAGATGGATCTACCCCAACATGTTCCACTTTCACCTCCCATGGCCTGTCTCACCCTCTCTTTCTCTCTCCACCTCCCTTTTCTTTTAATGTTCTCACTCCAGGGCATCTACAGCTGCATCCATGGGGTACAGATTGAGGAAAACAAAACGCCCACAGATTCACCCTCTGCCACCATGAAGAAGAACATGAACAACACTCATTCCAACATCCTGCGTTTGCTCCGCACTGCGAAGGACATGACTGCTGTCCCAGGAATAAATGGCTCTCCTCACCCCGCCCTGGAATATAGTCACAGCGGCCGTGAGTCGGCTATCTATGACATCCAGGAGCACCGCCGCAGCCTGGTGGCTCACCCTTCAGACTGTAAATCGGCACCGCCTTACCTGCCGGAGGACAACATGTTCACTGACTACATCGGCGATGTGGAGAGGACTTTTGGCAACTTGCCCCTGAAGGATAACAACTTGTACCAGGACCATTATCGGCACCACCACCCGCCCTCAGCTCTGGGTATGTCTGGGCCCCCACCTAATAGGCCGCGTAGCTTAGGGAGCGCTAGCTCGCTGGAGGCCGGCATATTTGATTGTGACAGTTTGGGGGGAGGTGTCACACCCATTTTTACCACCCAGCCACGCCCCTCCATGACTCACAGGAATACAAATAAGTTTGACCTGATCGCTGGTCACAGCCCTGCGGAGTCCAACCAGGGTGGGTTCAAGGGAAGCAATGTTTACGGCAGGTTTTCTTTCAAAGGAGGTGCATCCAGCACTGGGCTGATCGGGGGTCATGACAGGTGCTGTGGGGGGGGTGGGGGAGGCTCAGGGGGTGACGATGGGAACATCCGCTCTGATGTATCGGATATCTCCACCCACACTGTTACCTACGGCAACCTGGAAGGCAACGCCAAGCGGCGTAAGCAGTACAGGGACAGCCTGAAAAAGAGGCCAGCCTCGGCCAAGTGCAGACGGGAGCAGGACGAGATAGAGCTGAGTGGCTTCAGGAGGAGACCCCACCACCACACCGTCCACCACCACTTCCCTCACGGTCCCATGGCACACCGCACGGTCTCACCTCCCTTGGAGCGGAGGAGGGGAGGAGCAGTGGGTAATTCTTCACCTTATTTGTTCCGCAAAGAAAAAGAGAACCTGAGAGATTTCTATGCGGACCAGTTCCGCTCCATGGAGGGCAAGGCCAAATGGGAGCAGGAGGGTGGAAGTGGAGGAAGTGGTGTGGGCGGTGGTAGCGGTGGAGGTATCTGTAAAAGCTTGGTGCCTGTTGAAGACTTCCTCAAAGGTAAAGGAAAAAAGCCAGAGAGTAAAGGTGGGATGGGCTCAGTTGCAGCAGGCCTGCAGGGACACACCTGCTGGGACAAGGGAGGGTCCGGTCTAGGAGGAGGCGGAATTGCGGGGGGTGACTGGGAGTGTCGTAACTGTCACAGCGTGTGCCACCACAGCGGTGGCGGTGGGAACACGTGCTCAGCTAGCGGAGTTGGGGGGAGCAGCAGTCGCCCGAGCTCTGCTACCTGCAAACGCTGCGACTCCTGTAAGATTCAGCCGAGCAACCTTTACAACATCAGTGAGGACAATAATCTGGTCTTCACAGGAGGGAAGGCTAGCGTGGGAACCAGCCAAACCCAAACACAGGCACAGCGCAGGAAGCTAGGGCCAGGCGGGAGGGTCTTACGAAGGCAGCACTCCTATGATACATTTGTGGACCTGCAAAGGGAGGGCGCAAGCCGCATGGCAGGGGTAGGTGGAGGTGCTGGGGGGCAGTTTCCCCAACCCCGGAGTGTGAGCTTGAAAGACAAAGACCGTTTCATGGAGGGCCCCAGTCCTTACGCTCACTTGTTTGAGAGGTACGCAGCGGACAGGGAGTCCCCCATGTTTGGAGGCGTAGGTGGCGACAGGGCAAAAGGAGGCTCCTCTTTCAGTTTGTTTCGTGGAGGTGAGGGTGGGTTGCATCGGCGGTCAGTGGGGGAGAGAGACCTGAGGGACAGAGATAGAGCGATGATGGGTGGTGGTGTTGGTAGCCGAGGGGCCGGGACTTACTCCTTGTCTAAATCTCTCTACCCAGATAAGGTGAACCAGAACCCCTTCATCCCAACCTTCGGGGACGACCAGTGTCTATTACACGGTGCCAAACCGTACTACATCAAAAAGCCTCAGGCGCAGCCACAGCAGCAGCAGCAGCAGATTCTCAACAACAGCCGAGGAGGAGGGGACTTCCGCGGCTCCATGGGAGTAACTTCCTATTTGCCTGCGTCCGCTACGGCTGGGGTGATGTCAAATGTGGCCCCCAGGTTCCCCAAAGAGCTGTGTTTAGGTGGGGTGGGAGGGCCCATGGGGAACCACCATGTGGCCAACAAGCTTCTGGCCGGAGGCAGAGACACATTAGGTTTGGGGCAGAGCCAGAGACCCTTCAGCAGTGCCAGCAACGGACACGTTTATGAGAAGCTCTCGAGCATCGAGTCGGACGTCTGAGGGTGAACATGGAGGAAGAGAAGAGGAAGTGGGTGAGGAAAAAAGAGGGGAAGAATAGAGAAACAGCTCCGACTAATGACCGCTCTGTGTGAAGAGAATATGGAAACACTCATACGCCGCGTGTTCTCATTACGGAGACACAGAAGGAAATTGGACAGTGTGCAGAGGCCACTGCTGACAAAGCTGTCATAAAGTCCAGGGGGACTCAAGTTTTTAATGACAAGGATGATTCTGCTGGGGCTCAGACTCCCCGGAAAAAACAGAGAGGGAGGAACGAGGGAGGAGAATCATCTGAAACAAAAAACCTCCGGTCTTGTCACAGGTTCCGTGTTTTGCCCTCCTTCCCGCAGTTCCGTAACACCAAAACACAAGATTTTTTTCACAAGAGAAATACAATCATCTACGAGAAATCAACGCTTCTGTCGAAGTAACAGGGTAACTTTAAAAACTGTATTGATAATGTTCATAATATTGGTGGATATTCTTATGGTGTTTACTCATGATCGGTTTGCATTGGTTTTTCAATTTATTTAAATAGTTCATGTGACATATTTGTACGATGTCAATTCTTTCTAAGCTTACCAAGATTACAGGGGACTAGTCAGTGTGGAGTT